ATTACTGTATTTGACCATATTGCCACTTCACAAAAACATTATACAGATGAAAATTTATACGCAGAAATCTATACCTCATACACCTACGACAAAATTGCTTCAAAACTGAAACAGCAGTGCTAGGTGACAGCATCTTGTGAACATAGTAAATCTAAACGTATTCCTTTCCAGAAGCATTGTTTAAGTCAGTGGTTCTCAAACTGTGGATGGGTTTCTGAATATTCTAAAATGAATATATTTCTTTTGTCGTCAGCTGTCTTGCATGTTCTAACAGCATCTTTTCTGGTTTATCTCTGTTTTTTGCAATAACAAACAAAAAAAATTAAATAACATGCACCTTCCCAGTGGCTGGTTTCCAGACAGGCTGTATACCATTGACGCTCACTTGGCTCCTTGTCCCAAAACTCTAAAGTGACATGGCGCACCCTTCTGCTTTCAGTCCTGTCAGCTGACAGTATGGTGATTCAGGTGCTCAGGTTAGAAGCATCATTCTCAGCCCATCGACCCCCCAGAGGTGCTGTTTTGATTCCCATGTCTGCTCTTAAAAATGTATCCATTTGTCTTTCTAAAATGAAAGTAGAAATGCCAGTACCATGTCCACTCTGCAGCGTGCTGTGGCAGCATGCTGCTCATATGTGTATCTGCAAAATACACAAAGAAAAAAATGTCTGATTTCTAGTAAGTGTTATGCAGGCCACTCATTGGCTCCCTGTGGGCTAGTAGCTTGCGGTCAACGCCTTTGGCAACCACTAGATACAATAAATGACATATTCCAGTATGAAACAGTCAATAATTCATAATTATGTGTGGTAATTCATCATAGACATTTCCATCCATCCATCTGTCGACCCATCTGGGCTGGTAACGGTGATAGTAGCAACAGGCTAATCAGGACAGTCCAGGCTAGTGAGACACCCAGGCAATCCCAGGCCAGCATCTCTGGATCTCTGCCTAGACAAGTGTGCTGGTTGAATGGATCTTGGTCAAATTCAGCCAGGTGACACTCCCAAGATGGCTGATCCTCCTAGCTGGAATCCTCTCCTTTTCCCTGAACTCGGTCCAGCTGTCCTGTGGAGGAACCTCACTACTCTGCTTCACTTCTTCACGTTCTTCTCATTTCTGTGACCTCTTCCTTCCAGTCACCCTGCAAAATGTAGCTGTTGACCTTAAAGTAAAGGGAAAGCGTGGTCTGCAAATTCAAATTCATAGGGAAAAACAGCGATACGGCACAACTGCCTCCACCAACCCGATAATGTTTTTAATTAGCAAAGTTCACTTTGAGTAATAGCGAAAGTGGAAGGAGAATGAGCATGATGCATAGAGTATCATTCAGAACTTGGCAGGATTTTACACTTATTGGGGGTGCGGATGTTTGCGTTCACAGAGTAGTAGGCAGTGTCAAATATCATATACCGGTTCACATGCCTTTCAAGTTCACTTTGCAAATCATGCTTCTGGTAATGCTAAAAGCAAGATTGACATCAATAGGAGCACCTGGGTTAACCAGTGAGGATCATGTACGCAGGGTGGATCTTAAATATTTATTAATATGTCACAATATATGATAGTCTGCTGCATGTCACATGACTTAAAGTGGAAAGCTCATTGGACTAACTTAGCATACACACCTTCCATGCATTTTCCTACACACACAAGTGCATTTACAGCTTAGATTACACACCCTGGGGGGGTATATCAATGTATCCAGCAAACAGATGGTACATTTCTTCATTCAGAAACTCACATTACTGTACTAGTATAAGAAAAGGCTGAATATGTGAGTTACACATTACTGTACTAGTATAAGAAAAGGCTGAATATGTGAGTTACACATTACTGCTTGACATGCTGCTCTTGAATCCACATCTCAAGTTGTCCTTCCAGGCTTTTTCCTGTTGTTGCCAGTGGGGTCTCTTATGCGGTGATGTGTTGGGGCAATATCATCAGCACAGGTGATGCCAAAAAGCTCACAAAAACAGTTGACACCTTGAACTCTTTCTCATGTTCCTCAAACCATTCCTGAACATTTTTGGCAGTGTGGCAGAGAGCATTATCCTACTGAAAGAGACTACTGTACTTGGTCTGCAACAATGTTTAGGTAGGTGGTATGTATCAAAATAACATCCACATGAATGCCAGGTTACCCAAGGTCTCCCAGCAGAACATTCCCAGAGCATCACACTTCCTTGGCCGGTTTGCTTCCCATAGTGCATCCTGGTGACATCTCTTCCCCAGGTAAATGATGCACATGCACCCAGCTGTTCACATGATGTAACAGAAAACGTGACTCCTCAGATCAGGCCACCTTCTTCCATTGCTTCATGGTCCAGTTCTGACGCTCATGTCTAGATGCCTTTGGCGGTGTACAGGGGTCAGCATGGGCGCTCTGACCGGTCTGCGGCTACGCAGCCCCATGTGCAGCAAACTGCGATGCACTGTGTGTTCTAGCTAACACCTTTCTGTCACAGCCAGCATTAACTTTTTCTGCAGTACAGTAGCTCTCCTGTAGGGCGGCGCCAAGCAGGCTAGCCTTCACTCTCCACGCACATCAGTCAGCCTTGGGTGCCCATGACCCTGCAGCTGTTTCACCGGCTAGCCTTCTTTGGACCACTTCTGGTAGATACTGACCACTGCATACCAGGAACACCCCACAAGACCTTTCGTTGGAGATGTCCTCACCCAGTCATCTAGTCATCACAATTTGGCCCTGGTCATAGTCACTCAGACCCTTGCGGTTGCCCATTTTTCCTGCTTCCAACACATCGACTTGCCTTATATATAATGGCACCCTGGACAGGTGCCATTGTAACAAGATAACCAATGATATTCTCTTCACCTGTCAGTGGTTTTAATGTCATGGCAGATCAGTGTATCTATGTTTCTATCTATACTGATTGTCTCACTGGTCATCTTCTCGGGAACATAACTTTGTTAGGGTCTCAATGTGACGGACCGAATGCGTAACTCTAATACTATTCTTTCACTTCTGTTCTTGTTACGCCCCAAGCTTCCGGCCATCCTCTCCAGATACTGTAGCTAAGAACACGCAGCCCATCTCAAAGAATTTTAGCCGATGTTAGTCTTTGCTGAGTTAACAAATATTTCTGGTAATAAATTTGATAACGATTTCATCCAGACCCCAAAATAGATGCAAAGAATAAGTTCACGCATCATCGCATTACTACTACCATGTATAAAATGATGGGTATATTATTTACATATTCTGTGATTTTTATAGGTTAACTCATGGGAACAACATTCAGTACCATTGATGGTTAAACCATCCCAGCTGCATAGACCTCACTCTACCAACTAGCCACTTGCTGATTCAAACCAATGACTGATGGTTGGTCAACACCAGAGGTTTCAATCAACCAGCTGAGTATAAAGAGTCACAGTGAGAGAGCAATGAACTGGTTGATTGAAACTAAATCTTGGTCTGGATTTGTACTCTCTGGACCCGAGATCTCCACCCCTGGTCAACAAATCAGCTGAGTGGACACGTTTATGTCTGGAGACATCAGTTATGAATATGGAACTATGGTCCTTTCACAATCAATTGTTGTGCACGTCGCTTGCATATATGATTAATCATTATTAGGCATGTTAAAATCAGAAGGATCCCATATCCACAGCCACAGTGGTACAGATGGGTCTCTTGTTGTAAACCATAGTGCTTCAGGCCCTCCAGAACGGGGTGGTGCCACACTGAAGCCTGGCCTTTCACTGCTACTAGCAGCGCGTTTCTGAGCTTTTAGTTAAGGGAATAAGGAAGTGGGGAATGGGAGTGAATGACGAGCCGGAGTCTCGCCTCAAACCATAACATTATGCATCAGGTCAGAACCAGCGGCACAAATGCGAGGGCCAGGCTGGGTCTGGAAGCAGAGTGTGGGGCTGGGAGCTGAAGATAAATCCATGCTGCACAGGCAATGATGATAGCCAGCTTCTTTACATACTTTGATAACGTAAGAAGCTTCACCTATTAGGAAATCAAGTCACAATTGTATCATTTGGAGATTGCAGAATATGGGCTGGGTACTTTGACTATCCTTTATTAGTCATTCAGTGCATGTGGGAGGGGTTACGGTTACCATCTTTTTCAGACAGGAAGGATTCAGGTAAGGATTTACAGGCCTGTTTTCATATCCACCTACCTCCATCCCATGCCTCATTGCAAAGGTCTTCACTGAAAACTGAGGCTTAGCAGTCAAGCCCAAACTGTTGTGCAAAGTATAATATTCAATGATCTCAAGCATGTTGCATGCACAGGTGAGCAATTCCTGCGACTGAAACCTGCAGCTCTTGGCTCTGGCTCCCATAACCCTTACATTGCGCAAGATTTAGCCCCAACATGCAACTATAATTCTCAACGATGGCGTTACGATATTTTCCACTTACGATGAACTCATCAGAATGAAAGTCAAATATGAAAAAAGCAAATAACCAAACTACTGTTGCCCGAGTAAGTAATCACTCTAAATACCAGTAATCGAAAAGTAAAATGAATAAAAGTGTATTTGGTAAGACACAGAGGAGAAAACATAGAATACATCGTTAAACATTATGACAGGTTTACACTCCCAATCGCTACAGATAATCGGAGAGGCAGCTAACAAAAGTATCAAACTGTATCGGTAGCCTGGGAGCGGATCACACTCAAAGCTGACTACTAAATGTAAAGTCCAAATATTTTAAAGACAAACCATCGTAAAGCAAAGAGCATCTGTAACTCTACTGGACCATGAATCTATCAATGTAATTTTTGAATATAATTGAAGCTAAAGGACTTAGGGAACCTAACGAAGAATTCATTTGATTAAAGGGAATACAGTAAATTAGTTTTTTTCCCCAATGCTGGAAGATGGAGACACTCCCAAGTTTCAAAACCTCATCTGGTTGAGCAAGAACGAAGCCAGTAAGAGCTGCTGAAACCTGGCCATTGACTCAGCCACCCCATTGAGACTCACAGGCCAAGTCACTCACAGAAGCATTAAGCCAAGTTACAAACAAGTTAACAATTTATTTACATTATATACACATGGTGTAAATGCACAACTCAATATACTGAAATGAAATCTAAACCCCGTTCATTTCAATACAGATGATTTCTTCCTCAAAGCAGGTCATGTGCATTGACGTAGACCCAAGGACACATTCACCCCAGTGCAGATACAGTTGTGCCTCCAGTTAATGAATTCGCTTGGTCTTAGTGCTTTTCTTTAATAAATAAGGTAGGAAAAGAGCCTGGCATGAGGCTCAACTTCAAAAGGTCCACCACTCCTAGACCATTAGCAGAGAGCACACCACTGCGCCGCCCAAGCAAACACTGCTGCTGGTCCGAAGGGTCCCTGCAGTGGCCTCCCTGTCACAGCTTCTCACCTCTTGTGCAGAATCTTTTTTTTCCCCTTTTCTTTTTTTTCTTTTTAAGAGTACAATCTGCAATGACAGGCAGCAATTAGTTCACTGTGATACTCTTCCATCAGATATTCATCTTAGCAGAATACATCAAAACCACATGTGCAGATATTAACTATGGCTGCTGCCCCATTGCACTCTGGGAAGGCGGGTCAGACACACACACACACACACACACACACATCAAAGTTGGTCTTCCTATTTAAATGGGGACCGTCCATTCATTTCTATGGGAAAAACCATAATCCCAATCACGACACCCTTAACCTCTACCCAGCCATAACCTTAACCATAAGAAACCAACCGAAATACAAGACTTTTGCCATTTTTACTTTTTTGATTGCATTCACAGTTTTTTTTTTTTTTTATAAATCTGAGGCTATCCAAATGGGGACATCAAAAGATAATGGCAAAAGTAGGGAAATTTCAGGTTTTACAACACTTTGGGGACAATTTGGTCTATGCACACACACACACACACACACACACACACACACACACCTTTTCCTTGGTTTTTCCTCCCAGCCGTCACGGCACTTGACAAACGTGATGGAACTCCCTGGAGAAATGTCTATTGATAATGGATCTTGGGCACAGAACGTGAACCTACAAACAGAGTTGAAGCCATAACATTCAATTTCAGAAAGCAGGCTTACTAAGCTACAGATACAAAAAAGCAATTAATGTCCATAACTGATAATTAATGCACAAGCCCTCATCCATTAGCATGCAAGTGTTACTCCTTAGTACAATACAATGTACAAACAACCATTTTATTGCCTTTATACAACAGAAATCCTACTGACTAAGAGTATAGTTGATCATTTGTACACAGCTAGCTGCCTGGAAGTAACAGAAAGTTCCTCACTTCTTCTGTGTTTCTCCAGCTTTCACTCTGATACGCCGGACCTGCAGTACTTCAGTTTTAGAACTGGACCAAGACCAGAAGGAGCTCCTCATACTCTTAAACATTGAGCTGAAGGAGTCTGTAGGTCCCTCCCAAGAGAGTTCGATCTTCAGCAAATCACCAATGTCCTCCTCGGTGAATACCAGGAAAGTGTTGGTGAAATTTAACCCTATTTTGTCCGGCCTGAAGGACCAAGAGGACAAGTCATTCAGTAAGCAACATGGTCCAAGAAAGAAAGTGACACGAAGCCACACGAGTGATTTTGGCACTTGATTACAGAGTCATACATATGGATAAAGGAAATTCTATAAGAAAGAGAATGAACTGGTTACCCATCCAAAAGGTCCTTTACTTACACATCAACAGTCAGATCCTGGGTATCATTGTGGGCACCGTACAATTTCACGTAGAATGTGGGATCAGCGATTTCAGACTGTTTTCTGTCAAACACATGCATCTTCATCTGGTAATGAAAGCCTGCAATAATTGCCAAAGGAAAGGGTTGTCTTAATGTAGATGCTTTAATTTCAGTGCATCACCTATAAAGCCATTAATTTAGCATACTGCAGCATATCTCAGTTTAGCTACATTTCCTGCAGGAAATGATTTTCCAGAAGATTCTGCAAGCCAGAAACTAGTGCCAGAATGACCAGGTAATTGCAGAAGATATGGCTCACCTCCAAAGGGTGTGTCAGCACGGGTCTTCAGGTACATCTTGCTGTTGCGCCTTTTACGCATCTTCCTAGCATTGTAGCCCATGTTGTTGCAGCGGTTCTTACGGCAGCTCAGGCAGATGCCCTTCTTAAAGCGGTCAGGTCCTGTGCACTGGTAGGCGAAGCTCAGGTGATCTTTGTTGAGCAGCGAGTCCACAAAGAGGTGCACGGCTCTCTCGTGCTCGCATTTCATCACGTCTGCAAAGTCTGTGGGGAAAGGCCAAGTGAGTGAGAACCGGGGAATCATTACAACACCCTCCCAGCCTACAGGACTTCTGCCAAAACTCAGCAATGAATGACCAATAAAGGCAGTACTGTAGAACTGTGAAAAGCAGTGGTATGTGAGGTTCTGGGTACAGAAAGGACCTCCACTTACTTCCGGCTGCTGCCGTCACAAGCACGTCGTGCAACCTGCAACCTGGTTGTACTTCTCCACCATTGGGGTAGATGTCTATGTCACCAATTGGCTGCTGGATCCCAATGCTCACTCCCAGGGCCTCCCGTGTGTACGTGTGCAGGACATCCACAAAGTCCGCATCGTCAGGGGACAGCCGGCGGTCTGGATCTACCCCCTCGAACATAGGCCCCGCAGGATCCAAACCTGAATAGTGGGAACAGCATAGGTTAGACTGAGACCTCATGAACAGAAGCAAAACATTCTACCAAGTGCGCAGTTTTCATTTGGACGCTTCTTCCACTGAAGTCCCTTAGAACATGAACACTACGCAAGTAATCTGATTAGCACCAACTCCATAGTCTGACCACTAAGGCCATCATCTGAGAGCTGCTACAAATATAAACATTCAATAGTAAAATGAGTAAAGCGTAACTGGGCAGTCCTATAGGATAACTACTGAATCCAGGGGTGCCATAAAGGAGGGGAGAAGTTAGGATAATTCCAAGGGCCCCTGAGTGACAGGGACCCCCTGACTGGTCTATGTTGGCGGCCCAAAACTTCTAGTAGCACCCCTGAATGAATCATCTCAAATCATGGCACAGGACTGAGAAAAACAGCAATGGCCTCTTACCAGTGATGCGGCCAACCACTCCCTGCACAAACGAGCCAGCGTAGCCGGCCACATGGGCACCCAGGCTGTAGCCAATCATGTGCACCTGCTCAAGCGGTAACTGCTGCTCATCCTACAAGAGAAGCGATACCAACCGGGTGGTCAGCTGCGGCTTCCCCAAGTGATAAGGCACTACAGTCACACACCATCCAAAAATACATACATACATCCTACACGGGGGCAACCAAGCGCATGTTTATGAGGTTAAGGAGCTTGACTTGAGCATTTAGTTATTGGGCAATGTTTTGCCATCACCTCTCAGCATATGACAATACTTAGGAAGTAAATAACTGCTCTAGATGGATAAAGTTAAATGGGCACTGATGTGGTACAGCTTGGCATCTACCAAGATGCATGCATGCAAGTGCCAAAGATTCTTTCAGCTGTAGCTTGCTGAGTGCTATAGCCTGTCTGGGTTTCAGATGTTCAACACTGACTGAAGATGGTCCCAAATTAAGTCCTGTTGCAGAAGTAGGTCAGCTCCCAAGCTTAAAAGCCAGTAATGAGAAGAAATACTCAACATTGCTGTAAACAATGGCAAAGCAGCTTGTGTTTAGTCTGCCAGACAATTCCGGAAAATGTCAATGAAAATTGTGTAATAAGTCATTTTGCCTGTGGCTGAGACGACTCACATATTTCTAGACCTATTATGGGTCTTAAATAGTTCAGTTCAAGGAATCAAACTACTTTGAAGCAATTCACTCATTTCCAACACAATCATTTTGGAGAGTCCAGCAAAGATACAGCCACATGGGTGGGTTTTGAGCCCCCCCCACATGAAAAGCCCTTTCCAGCACACCCCCAGACTCCGGACAAACAGACACACCTGTAGCCAGTCCAGAAGAGCTGCGATGCTTTGGCCGACTGTCACGGTGTGGTTCACAGCGTCGGGGTAGACCTGCTGGGCAAAAGCGAGCCAGTCCACTACCACCACGTTGGCCTCGCTCTCCCGGAGCCTCAGAGCCCTCAGCAGCTGGTGCATCCAATTCTCATACATGCCACTCATCTAGGGGAGAGAGAGAACAGTCAGCGAGGGACCGCCACCCTCAGCATCTGCGGTATCTGATATACACTTGACAAATTCCACAAGCCTTGAAGATGGCAAGCAAATCTTTTAGTTATGCACCATAAATCACTAACCCCCCCCCCCCCCCCCACACACACACACACACACACACACACACAGCTCTTTTATAAACACAATTAAGTGAATTGAGTGGGTCTGTTCAAAGTCCCCTTTGACAGCTTTGTAACATCAGAGCTGGGGAACATTGCAGCTTCAACAGTAAACAGATCAGAGCTCAACTGAAGTCACTGCACTTCAGTTACTGTTTACTCAATACTCAAGATCAACTAAAATTTTTAAGTTATCGTGTATAGCCTAGATAAAGTTAAGAAGAAAAAAGACATCAAGTTTGATACTTACTGTCCATCCATGGATGACTAGGATGGTCTTTGCCGTTGCGTTGAATCCACACTCCAGCAAACTACCCCTGTTACCAGGTTGCAGATAACAGCCCTCATCTTCGATGTCCAGGGATTTCCTCATGTTGTACTTAATCTGCCAGTGGATATCATTCTCACCACCACCCTCTCTTACTGATGAGTTTCCATCGCTGGCTTCTGCAAACATGTGCATTCGGTTTGTACTAGCCATAGGAAACACTGCATATTTAAGCATGGTAAAATATGCAGTTCACTCCACACAGCCAGTGAAAACGTTCAGCTGAAGAATATTTACTCACGGGCAAAAGGAGGAACCATTTCAATGCATCAGTATTAGAACATATGTACGTGCAAAGTCTGGGCTTGGTCATTGAACAGCTGAAACTTCACACCGAAAACATTAAGCTTCAAATAGATATTAGCAGGATCTCTACCACTGAATTTACTTTATAAGATTTTTTTTATAAAAACATGCCTAGATGCTTTTGGTGTGCAAATGCCCAGCTTCCATTTAAGACATACAGTTTTTATTTCCTAATGAGGTTGTCAAAAGCGAACCGCCACTCGCTGGAAACGTATGAATGAGGGACGACCCAACCGCACGAACTGCCAAAGCACATTCTTTCAGCGGCAATACAATCCTTTTAATAGGTGCTCACATCATAATGGATACCAGCAATTAACTTTATCCCAAGATGAAGATCATTTCATGCAGACTCAAAGCCTCCAATCACTCCGCTCCGTGTGTAAGTAACACGTGTTAAAACCGAAGGTTCACTGCGGTACAGACGGGACGAGCTCAACGTGAGTTGGGATTTCTGCCATAAATTTGGCGTTTATTGCCCATGAAGACCTGATGCCGTTAACCTTCCATATGCATATCCCGTCGGTTTAAATAGCGGGATCCACAAAAGAAATGTTCTGGGCGAAATCACAAAAAGCCGACCTGAGCGTTTCTCCTCATAATAACCCCAATATATGCCTTGCCGATTCTTAACAGGGACGCAGAAAAAAAGATCTTACCATGCAGATAATATCCATTTTCCATGGGTTCAGCAAAAACCACAAATGGTAGAATAATCCATAAAATCGAAGCAATATATTTCATGTCTTTTACCAAACAGGTTTATGATTTCTCTATCCCTTAAAAAAAAAGCCGTGACGTAATAAAAGTGACTTTAAAACACGGTGCACTAAACCCGCCGCTTGCAGTTCAGACAATTTCTGTGACAGATGCGCTGAAGGGGGCCCGCGGACTTGCGTCAGTTTGCAATTAAGACTTTTAAATAGTCCCTTTGAGTCATCTGACCATCGGCAGATCCCTCGTGGAGATTCTTTGGCTTCTAATTGGTCAAGCCTCCAAGTTACGTCTATAGGCGTGGCAAGAAGCGCTGAATGAAAGTTACTCGCTCCTTCTACTCATTCATGCTGAAAATGAACGACGGAAAGTTGATTTAAATGTTTGTCTGTGTACAGTAAAGTTACCAACTGATACGTATAGAAGTTACAGACAACCTGGAAGACATTGCATAGTCTGTAGTTTGGTTAAAATGTCAACATTTTTACACTTAAAAAATCTAAGATTAATTTGGAGCTTTGGAGCACTACTTCTAGTACTTGGTATCTGGAAACGTTTGCGTATTCATAGAAATTCACTTCTTGATTACTTATTTAGCCAGTGTAAGCCCAATGGAACTCTATAGCAAAGTCACAGGATTATAAAACTATCACTTAAGGGCAACTATTAAACGGAGTATGGTCAGCATAATTTAAAATAGCGCCCAGTTATTACGCTGGATGATCTCAAAAATGGAGACTGAACGGGCAGTAAGCCAGTAACATCGACACAACGATTTGTCTTTTTAAAATACACTATTAATGATCAATGAAGCATTTGGGGCTTGAAAAGAACCACGCCTTCAACGGAGTATCTGACTCCCCTATACATTCCTTCCAGTACGTGAATCACGCCATCACGTGATATGCCTTTAAGCGTGCATTTATGTAGTCAAAGCATTTAACCTCGTCGATAAAATGGTTCATATTATGTTAATTTCAGGTCAGATGTTTTAAAATATCTCTAAAACAGCAGCCCCGATAACAGAATTTCCCCAACGTTGCCTGTAGTAATATACAATTTATATTAATGTTTTGCTTAAACAGAACGATGAACTCTCAAATATTTTACGTCTAAGTATCCGTCTTAAAATTACGGATTTATATAATGCGGCAAAATAATACAGCTAAACAGAAGTTGTTAATTCCATATCTGCGCAGTTGTTCCCGTTTTCCTAGGCATAAATATTATATGTGCCATAACCAGTTTTCATTCATGTGAAACAGACTATTTCAAAATGTGGAGCGAAGGGCGCAACAGAGAAAAAATTGGATTACATAATAGTTTTGGCAGATATGGGAACAGTTGTGGTGGTCTGACTTGCGTGGACTTACACCCGACGAGCAGAACAATAGTGTTTGCAAACGGAAGGAGAACACAAAAAATAAGGATCGCATTTATTAATATGTGAAGATTTAATCGTAAAATTTTTAAAGACGTGTATCATTCTGACGTAAATTCACCATCCTCGAAAAGCACCACTAGGGTTTTATTACCATGTCAAGAAGACTGAGAGTTAGGGTTAAGAAAACGCCATGTCTTAATTATGTTTTTGCACTAGTGCGTTTTGTATTTTGATATTTGTTGGAAATTTTTGTTTTCGTTAAAATAAAAGGAAACCTCTAGGTATAATAATAATAATAATAATAATAATAATAATAATAATAATAATTATAATAATAATAATAATCAATTACTATCAACGTTGTGTACTATCACAGCACTGTAATGCTCGGGCTTTCTGGTCAAGCTGCACCACGTCAGTGTACAGGGTCGACAGCTCTTACCACGCCCAACCCCGTTCGACAACCACAACGTTGGAGAAAATGGAAAATAGTAAGGAGAGCATTTGACATCTCACACAGCCATTGCGCCTCTGCCCATGTTAATGTGCTTCTGGTCAACGTCATCGTTTACATCTGGTCTGAACACTGATATCGCATAACGTACCTGTTAAACGATTCATTTTAACCGCAACACAACACGTTTTTTACATTGCAAATGACAGAAGCAAGTCTGACATTTCTCTTCCCTGAACATTTCTCTACTGTCCCTTTCTTAGTACAGATTTTTTTTCTCTTGCCCTGTAAAGCGACCATGGGATTGTGAGACGCTATATAAATGTAACCTATTATTATTATTATTCTCATTATTATTAAGTCTTTTCTCGTCCAAATTAAGTATGCTATTATAATGTACAGAAGCTGTACTTTTCCACATTTTGCAGAGAGTGATATGATATTACTAATCATAAAAATACTCAAGACACAAGCAATTAATATTTAATATAGTCGGTGTAATATTCTCTAGATTGTCCATCCATTCAACCATTTTCCAGAACCACATATGTATCCACGCCCTTTGCCACAGGGCCAACATGATGTACATTCCAACAGTGAGGTAAGGACTCAAACCAACAGTGTTGTAGGTATGAGACCACCCAAGACCATCCCCTGATATTTTTAATCTGAAAATACGAACTGCTGATTTTTAAGAAATGAAATAACAATACCATTTAAACCATTGGAATGAAAAAAATAATTAGTAGATTGTATTTTGTGGTGGTTTTCGCCAGTTACATGCTGAAACACTGGTGTTCTAGACATAATAAAATCCTGTTAAAAACTGGCTACTAATTAAACACGCATAAGTAATATTTAACAAAGAATAAATTAGGGTTATGGGCTCCTTGAAACAGCCTACAATAAACGATGACCACTTCTCCAGACCTAAGGGATAGAGGTAATATATTCCACCTCACGAGAGGGGTATAGTAAAGAGGGTGATTTTGTGGAGAGAAAAAAAGAACTATAGTTATTGCATGTGAAAATGGGGAAAATGTGCCCGTGGTGAGGTAAGCAGCTCCGAGAGCTAAAACTGCAAATTAAGGACAGAGTTAAATAGTATGGTGAAATAGATTATATGTAATAATGTGTAATTGAGTATTAGCCATAAGTAAATCATGTTTAAAAGTTGCTATTCATCAGTTGAAGATACCGGTACAATTATCATATCAATGCAAGACATAATATGATATGTTGGTGTGTGGTGACCTCTAGTGGCAGAATATGTCAACTGACTTTTGCCAGAGTGGTACCCTTTCGCTAAGCTTAAATATTGTCGTTGTCATCTTGCAGATGAAACCTCATACTGTATGGATTCTATATTCTGTTGATAAAAATGATTGTGCATGTATTTTGGTTCCCATCCCTAGCCATGTGTGCAGTATACATGTATGTTCTGCCCACGTCCATGTAGGTTTCCTTCAGGTACTCGAGTCTGTGCGGTTTAGGTGAAATGGTATCTCTAAATTTCCCATAGTGTATGATAGGGTCCAGACTCACTGCAATTCTGCATTATATATGTGTATATGTATATATATGAAGTAAAATTAACCATGTGGTCTCCTAGAGCAATGCAGAACATATGTCCATCCACTAATCTATCCACCCATTGTTCATCTGCTGATCCAATACAGGATCATGGAGAAGGACAGGGCTGGAGCATATCCCAGGGTATACTATAGTTGAGATGCCAGTCCATCACAGAGCACAATCACACACGCATATGCTATGGATATTTTAGAAAATGTCAAATAGCCTAACTGCATGTCTTTGGTCTGCATGAGAACCTTCACCTCAGAGCATGTCACAGAAAAGTCCTGTAACAAGGAAAGTCATCTTCTTGCCTCTAGCTGTGGGGACCTATCTTTAGAACTATGACAAGTCTTATATAGTTCATTTCAAGTAGTTACAATGACAGGTCAACCAAAGCCACAGCATCCAGGTCTGGTGTACTCTGCTCTGTCTGGGGTTAGAAGAGATAACTGTGGAATGCTGTGATTTCAATAGTAAACATTAGACTGGAGCTCAGTTGGGGGCAAATGAAGGTGGTGACGTTACTGCACTTAGCAAAAGTCAACTATCTAAGAGATGTTGTTATTGCTCGAGAATTTGAGTCCAAAGAAGTTAAAATGACTGGTGATGAAAAACAAGAAAAGCTTATGTGTCATGTCAGTCTCTGCCAACTTGGTGTAAGTCTGGATAAGTAAATGCAGTTTATGCCAGACAACCAGTGAAAAAATGTCACTCAGTTGAAATAACTTACTCATGGTCAAACCTACTCACTGAATCAGTATGTACTGTTACGGAAACAGTCCTGTAACAATGTAAAGAGACCCCCTGATGGCCTCTGGGAGTGAACACCTCAAGAAGTATTTACTGCAGGTCCTTGTGCAGTGAGAGCATACATCTGCAATCTGGCCTAATATAATGTTTTGTTACATAGGACAATTCAAAACAAAATACCATTATATACAAGACAGCATCATAATGAAACCCACAAAGAGCCAGTATTTCCATGTTTTTCACCCCACTCTTGTTGGCATGATCTATTCAGTGTCTTTTAAGTTTCCTTACCACTCCCCTGGCTCTCTCCTACTCATGTAGCATCTTAAAGTCACAGGATTCACTGACTTCATATTTTCCACCCTGCATTCTGTATTTGCACCTCTATAATATTTACTGTGTCAGAGACTATGCAGAGCCACAGTCACTGTTGTCTGGTATTCATCAAAAGTATCACAATTCCATTGTCAAAAACGAACGAGATGAAACAAAACAAATCCATTGCCAGGTCTTTGCCAGGGATCCCTACAGCGACTCAAATTTATAATCAAGTCTGCTAAAGCCAAACCAGCTCAGAAAGTCATTCACCATCGTAAAAACAAGGAAATTTGCATTCAGTTACAAATGGAATGTTGTTTCCTATAGAGCTTTACAAAATGGGACATGTGAACAAACAGAACCAGTGAACATTTAATATATTCTTGCATGTGATTGTTATTATTATATAGAATTAAATAATCAAATTCCCAATATCTGCTAGCAGACCCCTGTAACTCTGTACAGGATCAGTGATTGGAAGATGCATAGATGAATGAAAGGATGGATGGATAGGTGAATGGATAGATGGTAGTTACATGAAGGTCACAGAACCAAAGTGAACCTGAAGAAGATCTAGAATTAATATGTACTAATTTACCAGGAGGCAAAATAGTATGTATTCTTGCTAAACGTCGGTAGTTCTATTATTTGTTTTAAACCGTGCTTGCAATAAAACAAGTGCTGTAAATCACGCGTTATTAAATACTGAATGGTTGTAAATGTAATTTATAAGCTCTGGGAATTGTCAACATACATTCATATCTGGCCAACGACACACCACTAAGACACAGAGATTAAATCGACGTGCCTCAGTTTTTGTCCCAAATTTCACCGCAGTTACTTCTATCTGGATCTCCATTCCAAAAGAAACATATTTTGCATATCAATGCTGATCAAAAAGTGCTACAAATAAAGGAAAAACAAGCCGATATATTTGGTTATTTCTGCTATTAGCAATATGAAATAAGAACGACAAATAACAATAATATTCATAATATTTATTATTATTATGTCAACGAAATAGTTTTCAAGATCACTACTGCCAGTGCACATTATGTTTTCCTGCCTCCTGACAGCTGGTCTCTGCCCCCACCCCCCAGCGTCTCGTCAGTGCTCCGGTGACGGACGGACAGAGAGACGGACGACGGCGGCGGCGGGGCGGGGGGTGGTAGAGAGCTGGGAGCTCCGGATCGTTCATGAGCAGAGACGCAGGAGCGAGCGATCCCCGGCCTTGGCTCCGCGGCGCAGCTCAACGCAGCGTCCCCGCTTTGCGTGACCAGTGCCAGGGAGCCCGGAGGCGGCTGTACTTTCCGCGTCCGTACCATGTCCCGACATGAAGGTAAAGCGCGATCAGAGACACCCTCCCGGCCCCTACACCGTGACCGGAAAATGTAGCGGCACGTAGCTGGGGGGGCTGCCATGTTTCTTACTGAAACGTACTTCGTGTTGGTGATGGGGGGGGTCGCTCGGTGGCGGTCGCCATGCTGTTTCCCACCCCCTTAGTCCCCCCCCCCTCCTTCTCTTAAGTCTGTAGCCATAGCATTCCGGCTAGCCGCGCACTCCACCCCGCCTACCAGAGGACAAGCTCCGGGATTCCCGACAGGGATCCAGGCGGTCAAACCCACGGAGGGTCCCCGCATGCGGCACCCCGGAGCTGTACCGCTTCCCGGGGGGCTCCGCGAATCCGCGCTCGTCGCTTGTTCTTAATGTTTTAGCTAATTAGCATAGCAGGCTAGGTGAGCCGGCTAGCCCCGGGCCGCGGACGGGCACTGCTTGACCGACAGAGCCGCTGAATGCAGTGTCATTCGGGGCTGAGGCCCGGGAAATGCTCCGGCCCGGGATCGACTCAGAAGTCATGTCATTAATTTAACGAATCCTCATTTTGATTATGGATTAAAAACTACATCAGCGAGCAGACAGTGCGAGTCGGTGCCTGTAGATTTGTAAAAACTCGGCAGCTGTGTCTCATAGCCGGATAGCTAAAGCTAAGTAGCATCCCGGCTTTGAAAAGCCTGGTTGTGTGGACGTTGGCGTCCAACGGATAACCGTCAGTTTGCTGGCTAACTGCTGACCGTTTCAGTTATGCTTAACATGAACGTAAGCAGAGGCAAACTCGTGGGTTTTCTACAGATACCTGCCACTTATTAATAATACTCTTTACTTATTTTTAGTTTTAGTTTAAAAAATAAAACTTTTTTTCGGTTTGTGCGTAGTGAGTAGCTTGTCCCATAGTAGTCATGGCTGTGTAGCTGACGGTGGTTAGTCTATCTGCAGTATGACTCCTAATCTACGCAGAACTGTTTATTTACCTCTACGATTACCACCCAGACTTTTGGTGTTTATAGTAATCTTAATTTAACCTGTATATTTGTTGTTTCTTCGTCACCCTGTTAGTCACCAGTTGCAGCCACATGGGTGTTTTACTGGATCTTTTAATACATCAGATCAAATTGATTGGCTTTAGGTTACAGCAAGTTTCATAATGCAACCTTTGAGTTGTTAGATGCTTAGTTTAGTGGTGTTAGTTTAACGTAATGTTCTGTTTTGGGGTGTCAAAATTGAATTTTCCAATGTGAGAAAGTCTTGGGTATAGCAATTTTTTGGGAATTTAGAAATGAAAGGTGTCTCCAGGCCTGTATGTATATATGAGGCACATTGGGGCAACAACATTGTAAAAACCACCTTATAAAAGTAGGTATTTAAAATATATTTTTGCAAAGCAGTTTCTGTGAGGAGATCAGACATAAATATTGTATGCTTGTTGGTGTGGGTCAGTAATGATGCTCCTGTTCTTGTTTTTTCTGGTCAGTTGTAGAATGGATTAAAAATGTTGTCATTGTTGCTAGATGTCTTTACAAATCAGTTTACAGACAATTACAGTAGTGTAAAAAAAAATGTTACCTAAACACAAAATTATTGGGACATGACAAAATATTGACATTTTCATTGTACAGAGAGATATAGAAGTTCAGTGGGTTTAACATGCAGAATGAATGAAGAAATTGTTTAATGTTCTAGGTTTTTCCTGCATGTTCTAGATATATCTTGGTGGCTGTATTCAAAAACTTTGAAGAAACTATGATTTTAGATGTGTGTGTGTGTGTGTGTGTGTGTGTATTGGATTTGAATAAAATTTCACATTGATTTCCATGTGAAGTTTCACAAAATTTTGATAGTGGTATTACTTGCATAAAATTTTAAAAAGTACTAATTTCCATCGATTGATAAAATGCACCCTTAGTGTATTTAATTAATGTACTCTGGTTAAGTGTGCATTGTTAGTCATACTCACCTGCTTGTGTAACACCTATGACTAGGTGGCACTAGTAAGTTGCTGAGAACTTAGCATTTCAGATTCAGTGTGACATGGCCCTCGCTTCCTGCTGCCATGCTTTTTTTAAATGCCTCTGCTTGTTCACGCCCACGCCACCGGATGGCGTGCTTTCTGTGCAGGTTCAGCCAGTCGACTGTCAGGATTTCTTGAGCACTATTTTCACTCCCATAAACCTCACATCTTTGCCAGTTATTGAAGTTTTTATGAAGAACTGTGTGGCAAGGTCAGAGAAATTTGAAACATTTAAAGGTCTGTTTGAGTCTGAGGTCATCTGCAGTTGAGTTACAACTTTGCATCACTTAGTGCAGGTAATGCCAGACATGACTCTCCTATTGTACTTTGTTGATTTGATTTGATTTGATTTGCTGCCTTTTAAAGAAGGTTTTTTTCTGTCATTTCTAGAAGGTGCCATGGGCAGCACTGTGGCTTCAAACCTCTAGGGTTGAGGTTCAAATGCTGCCGGTCTGTATTTGTGCATTTTGCGCACTCTCCCCCATACTGCAACAGAAAGTTTCCTCTGGGTATGCTCATTTCCAGCTCTAGGAATGCAGTGAGGTGAATTAGAGCTGTCTGTTCACCTGTCATTGTGGCTAGATTAAAAGAAGTATTTAAGACCTGTCATAGATCTAAAGATACTTTTACTCAGCCAGAGGCCAGTAGATCACTTTCCTTGTTACAGGACTTTTTGTGGAATGTTTCAAAGTGGAGGCTGACTCATCAGCCGAAAGACATGCAGTTAGACTATTCAGCATTTCTGAATTGCCTGTAATGTGCATATGTATGCGTGCAGTGCCATGGACTGGCATACCATCCAGGGTGTACCCCTACCTTGTGTTTTATACTGGCAGATGTGGACACTCCCTTTATGACCCTGCATTGGAAAAGTGGTTTGAAGATAGGTGGATGAATGGAAGTCATGAAGAATCAGGAACAGCAGGGGCCGTGGTTCTTAAGGACCTAGCTTGAATGTGCAGGTCCATGTCCCAAGGTCCTGTTATGGTACATCTGATCTGAGAAGATTCTTAAGTTACCCTGCTCAAATAAAAAGCTTTCGATGGAAGTGTCAGTTAAGCAACTAAATGTGGTGGTGGTGGTGGTGATGATATTTATTATGGGATGGCCTTTCAGTGGGAGCGATGCCTCAATATATCTGACAGAAGAGCTTTCTAAGTAGTAGAGGATTGTAAGGTGATGGTGGTCCAGAATTATGGAGTATAGACAGAACACAGTAGTGAGTAGTTGGTCTTAAGGCTGAATCCAGTTGTTAAGAATTCTAGGGTTTCATTTGTTTAGTTAAACTGAATGTCCGCGCGTGACCTACACAGCTCCTCATTCATGCTTGACAGGAGACCCAGTAGTACCCTGAGACTTGCGTCATTAAATCTCAGCTCCACATTGGTTTCCTGAAATCTAATAGCCAGACACAGCAGTAAGAAATGACACTGAATTACATTCTTTATAAGAAATATGAAATGACAAAGTTTGTGACAATTTCATTCAAGCGCACTGATATCCCTCTCACCAGCTGGTGTGTGCATTTAATGATTGTCCTTGGGGGTCTGGTGAGGTCACAACACCTCTTCAACACTAATGCTAAATGAATGGTGTGACAATGTTATCACAAATGGTGGTATTAAAATACAGAGCACAGTGGGACAGAATGTCCAGCTCATTAATATTGCTGTACTAATGTCAAAACCTCTCCATACCATTCTCTAGTTTGTTTTCATCTGGTAATTTCTTGAATCCATGTCCACAATCCATTGATTCTTCTGCCAAACTTTTTTTTTTTGATAATTCATTGTGCCTTAATCCAACATCGTCTGGTGCTGAGCCAAAGCGGTAACAGTTTTATAAACACAAACCGCTTATCTCTAATAGATCATGCTTATACCAGCTTCAGTCTTTCCAATTAAATCAAAAACAATACCGGCAAGATTTATATATAGAACAACACTTCCTGGACTGAGATTTTACAGATTATACAATAAACTTCTGTCTGGCAAGGTATAAATTTAGTTTTTAAACATTATTTTCAAACCTTTGTTTAGGGTAGCCAGATGAGTTTTACACGTGGCTGTTTGAAGTAGGTCATATTAAATTTAAAAAATGTGGCTCGGTGAATGCCTCTGTTGTAGGTGAACTGCATAAATCTGGCACCTGACATCTGATACTGAAAGCAGCCACTGCTTTGTGGTCTAGCTCTATGTATATTTGCTGGTGCTGGTGTTAACTGGTTCTCTCTTGGTGCCTTTAGAGAACCTGCCCGCGTTTCCACTGATTTCAAAGAGGTATAGAACGAAATGTTACATAGCTGAAAGTGAGAGTAAAGTAAAAGTTCATATGCGCTCTGTCTTTGACATTTATTTTCATCTGTTTTGGATTTTAAGTTTTTATAAGCTGCCGAATCAAAAAAAAAGTTTGCAGAGTATGACTCAATACACTCTGTCTTTGTTGATTGTATCCACTTTTGTCTCCATAAAGGCTCCCTCTGGTGTGTATATGAATCTATTCTTTATCCTCGCTCGCTGTTTTACCGCTGTCCTTTTAAGGATGGCACAGTAAAAGTGTCTGCTAATAACTTAACTTTACAATCCGCCTCATGATCTCTTCGCTGCTCGAGTGCCACAATATTTTATATATTCGTCCTGTGACATGTTTATAATTTATTATTACATCTGCCCGGCAAATCGATCTTTCATCTCCCACAGGATAAAAAAAACTATGTAATGTAATGTAGTAACAATGTAGCGTACAGTTGTTTCAGTGCCAGCAGCTGCGATATTAGACAAAACTATATTGGCTATGGATTGAATTTAATGGGTATATGGAAGGTTTTGACGTAATAGCCCGTCTCCCTTTTGCTGACGTTACGGTGCCAAATTCTGAGACCAGCTCTTCTGTGGTGCCATGCTGGAGCCATTTTTTCTGGCCCAGAGTCAGTTTTTTGCAGTAGGAACATGCAGAACTAGGTCCAGATTGGGAAGAAATCCGGCACCGGCTCCGCATTGGTGGAAACAAGGCAATTGGGTGGTGCTGGAGCTGAACGGCACACCTGGTTCACAACCTTTTTTGTTTTGATACAGACGCTATTTGGGAGTTTATCCAGGCTGAAACCATTTGAAAAGCTTCATGTTTATGAATGAGGTCGCTTTCTGTGTCTACCTGTCATTCACTTCCTGTTTGATCTAGAAGCACTTATGTGTATAGGGATGAATGATTCAGATTAATTGCCTCATTTGAGGGTAGCAGGGTGCTTCACTGCAGCCATTTAGGTTAAGTACGTTACTCGAGGTCACTTCAGCGCTTCACTTCCTGGGACTTGAACCAGCAATCTTTGATTGATGAGTCCATGTTCTTAAGTTCTTCACCACCACTCTTACTATAGTATGCGAGTGCATCAGCTGGATGAAGACATTAAAACCTGTTAGATTGTGCATCTAGAATCTTATTAAGCACTAGCTGCATTCTGTCAAAAATCATCTTGACAAGTTTATGAACATTTTTTCCTCTTTATCTGTGTACCTTCTGGTTATAGTGAATGACCTTCTGTCCAAAGCTATCTTCTTTATCACTGAGCCACAGAATCCCCTAAACTTGTTAGATGAACAATGAATGTTTTTTTTCAAGGACGCAGGTTTGGTTTCAACATCGGTAGGGGCCAAATCAGCCCTGAGCCCCTCCGCCCCCCAAAACGCACAAAGTGCTCCCACAATATACCCAAATCTACGCCCTTGTTTTTTAAAAAATAATTTTTACAAGGTACCATTAAGAGACCCTGTATCTTCAGCTCTGAGCTCCTTAGTGTGTGAGGTCTCCCCTTCCCAACCAACTCCTCAGCTTTCCTGCAATTGTAGGCATTTAATCAGTGGCATATACTGAATGAGGACAATGTAAAAAGCATGTATCAACTGGCTGAGTAATCTGTATTACATCTCATTATGTTTTCTCTCGTACCCTCGGCTAAATTGCATCTCAGCAATTCCTCAAACATTTATGATTTAATTAGCAGGTAACAGCAAGACCTGATGCCTGGCTCATAGCGGTAGTAACGCAGTAGTAACAGTACACATGTCCTCATCGAAGTGCTGTAGATAAACGGTAGATATCAGTGAGTGACTCAGGATTGCTTTCTCAACCTTCCGTATGTCAGCTTCAGCTTCTTTGTCTCAGCTTTTGTGATGACTGGAGCTCCTCTTCCGTGCCTCTCGCCATCCTCCTTTGCACTGATGCTTTCACAGGTACCTTTTGAGTGCAGAACCTCAATCTGCAGCTGGGACACTTTGTGACCGTGAATTCCCACTCTCTCTCTCTCTCTCTCTCTCTCTCTCTCTCTCTCTCTCGCATAGGCTGGAAATCTGTTTGAAATGTCGTGTAAATTTTGAAAGCATCTTCAACATTTTTTGCCTCCCTTTATCACATCCCTTTGGGTGGAGGCGGAGGTGCGGGAGGTGGAATTGGTATAGTTTGAATAGAGGAGCACCACAAGGGTCTTGGTGTATGTTAGGATTTATAGTTTGTAGTGAAACTCGGGATCTAGAATTTCTTTTGAAATGTGTGTGTGGCCATGTATATATTATATTCTAGGGGACAGAAGTCCCCACGATGTGATTAAAAACTTATTTTGACCTTGTAGGGACTTCTTCCTCTTGTGAGGACTGAAAAACTCATTTTTATAAAAATCTGTGAATCCAATCAAAAAACTAAAAAAGTGTTGTGCTTTTTCTTTTGGTTACTTATGGTTAAGGTTACGGCTGGTTAGAGGGTGAAAGTTGTCATAGTTGGCATTAGAGTTATGCCCATAGAAATGAATGGAGTCTTCACACACAGGGGGGACAGACAGACAGACAGCTGAGGGTACTAACCTTGGTCTTTTTGACCACTGTTAGCCGGAACCAGCTTGTTGCCGAAGAAAACAGCGCAAAGGGAATGCTGTATTAATTCAGATTAATTTGTTTTCTGAAAGTCTTATCCTGTTTTTCTTTTGTCATGAACATCACATGACCCTTGGCGTAATGTTTGTGCTCCGCCCTCTGTCTGCCTTTCAGGGGTCAGCTGTGATGCGTGTTTAAAAGGAAACTTCCGAGGCTGCAGGTACAAGTGCTTGATCTGCTACGACTACGACCTGTGTGCTTCGTGCTACGAGGGTGGGGCCACCACCACCCGGCACACTGCAGAACACCCCATGCAGTGCATATTAACCAGGGTAGATTTTGGTAAGTACCCATGCACTCTTTATTGACCAGGGTAGTGGGTCAGTACTGACCTGTCTTATCCAAATTTACATTTCAGTGCTAGAGATCTGCCAGTCTGTGGATGCAGGTCTTGTCTGGACCTCAAATTTTAATATATATTTAGTCTGCGTATTTTCTCCCAGCTCGCCTACAGATCAGTATAAGTAATTGCAGTTGTAGTTTGTTTTGTACAGTTTCACTAGATGTGAGACACTGATATTATCCAGTTGTCCAGTAACGGAGAGCCCCTGCCCAGACTGGTAATGCGTGCCAAGCCCTGGTGGTGTTGGGTGACCTTCTGTCATGCACCGTGCTGCAGATTTATATTACGGCGGGGAGGCCTTCTCAGTGGAACAGCCCCAGTCCTTCACGTGTCCCTACTGTGCGAAAATGGGCTACACAGAGACATCGCTGCAGGAGCACGTGACCTCGGAGCACGCGGAGACGTCCTCGGAGGTGGTGAGTGCAGCACGTGCAGTCGCGTCTGAATCCTGAGTTAGCCTGTCCTCATCAGAAGTGTGTGTGTGTGTGTGTGTATGTGCATTTAGCTGTCTCTTGGCGACAGATTCTTCACACTGCAAACTGAATAAAACAGGCATAGTGGGACATCCTGTAATTTTCATGTTTGCTTGTTTTTGAGGTTAGGATTTATTACAGTTAAATTGGTAGAGTCAGTGGGTGGTGCCTACACACCTGTCTGCCTGCCTGCGCCTCTGTCTGCCTGCCTGTGCATCTGTCTGCCTGCCTCTGTCTGTCTGTGTGCATCTGTCTGCCTGCCTCTGTCTGTCTGTGTGCATCTGTCTGCCTACCTCTGTCTGTCTGCCTGCCTCTGTCTGCCTGCATCTGGCTCACTGTCTACATATGTCTGTCTGCATCTTACAAAATGAGATCCAGTCCCTGTCTGTGCAGTCACTGAGCATACTCACAGCGCTGCTGCAGCGTTTCCAGTCTGACAGGGCCAGTCTACCAGTCACTCTGACCCCGGTTAAGCACTGAATATCCATGGGAGCAGCGGAGTTATCGCACTCGCGTGTCTCGTTTACGCTCTCGTAAGAACAGTGTTTGTGAGACGTGTTTAGGTTCTGCATCCTGCAGACTCAGGGCTCAGATACACAGAAGTTAGAGTGCTGTAGAGTGCAGAAGAGGCACTGACTGCACACATCACCACTGTTCGCACCATTTCAGTCTGCAAATGGACCGTGGCTTTTCATTGGCCGCTCTAACACTTGCCCCTGCAGCTAGCCAGTAATACTGGGCTCGGTCCCTGGGCTCTGACTACTCTTTGTGCCCACAGATCTGCCCCATATGTGCGGCTTTGCCTGGTGGAGACCCCAACCATGTGACAGACGACTTCGCTGCCCACCTCACGCTCGAACACAGAGCACCTCGCGACCTCATATCCAGTCCTGCTGCCAGAGTGTGTTCACACAATTCTGTCTGCCCTCACATGTAATAGGTTCAGTTAGCAGTCACATGCTTGGCGCCCCCTACTGGGTCACTGTGCCAGTGCCAGCTTCTCTTCCCTGCCTCTCCATTGTGGTCCTTAACTGCCTTCACGATGAGTCCAGCGGCGTCCGGCACGTGCGCAGGATGTTCCACCCAGGCCGGGGGCTGGGAGGTCCTCGCGCACGTAGGTCCAACATGCACTTCACCAGCAGCTCCACCGGGGTGCTGTCATCCTCACAGAGTTCCTCATACTCGCCGAGCAACAGAGAAGCCATGGACCCCATAGCAGGTAGGTGGTGCTGTTGGCCAAGTCGGTGACATCCGAAGGGGCATGATAAACATGGGGAGTTGTTTAGCAGGCCCCCACCCCACACAGGAAATTGCCATGGTAACCGCCTAGAGGTTCAGCTTGTCCCCAGCAGCATTATCTGCTGGTTTCCTGTGGGAATTCAGACGGGAGCAGGGGATGCCCTTCAGGGCATCTGGGCACCCTGCCAGCTCGCGTCAAGGAATCGAGCACCTGCTCAATTTTTTACATTTTAATCATGTTTCAGTGCATTTGCATTTTACCTGATGAATTATTCGACATGTCGGTTCAGAGGTTAAGTTAAACGGACACCGTAAACGGGCCGGATTCTGCACTGAAATGTATCTGCGATGTTGGACAGGTAGCACGGGGGCATGCTGGAGCAGCTGCCCTGCCTGAGCCCTGCTTGCCCGTCATATGGGCTTCTGTAAAGCACTGTACAGCTTACCGCCTTGGAGAACTAAAGCAATAAAAAAAAGCAAAAAATATTGAAGAGTCTGATTTGCATATCATGCAGTGTTTCTGTGAAAATCTAAAAGGAAACCTGATCATGGGTGGGACAGCGGGCGTCAGTGTGAATCTGCGTGACATGGTGTTTGGAGGAACACAGCCCTCGCAGGGAACGCGACCCGCCCCGGGCAGGAAGGAGCGGCTGGATAAAGATCAGATTGTACAGCGTTCCTAACCTCCTTTGCTGTCTGGATGTGGCTGGATGTGTCTGGCTGTGACCTTGTCCCTCTAGTGCCTTCTGGGACATTTTCGGAAGCTCAGGGCTCCTGGGTTTAATGGGGTACTCACTGTCCTTTAAAGGGATTTCTGCTCACTTTAATTGGACATTGGGCTCTGAGGCAGTGATGAGCCACTTTTTGCGAACAAGAAGTTTCATTTTTGCCCTTCAAATATGAGTTGAAAGTCCTTCTTTTTCAGAAATGTGTGTTGTGATAGTTGGACTGTGGGAATGTGTTGTCACATCTCATTGACTAACCGGTGGCCCCGCCCCCCCCTTCTCCCCCCTTCCCCCCAGAGCTGCTGTCCCAGCTGTCAGGCGTGCGCCGCTCTGCAGGCGGTCAGCTGAACTCGTCGGGCCCATCGGCATCACAGCTGCAGCAGTTGCAGATGCAGCTGCAGCTGGAGCGGCAGCAGGCTCAGGCGGCGCGGCAGCAGCTGGAGTCGGCGCGCAGCGCCACGAGGCGCGGTAACCCCGGCAACGCTGTGACGCAACCCAACGGCAGCCCCAATCCTGCACCTCCGCCGCCGCCGCCACCGGACAGCAACCCGCCTACCCTGCACGGCTCGCAGTTCCTGCTCGCCAGGTCAGCTGGGAGGATCACCATCACCTTTGAAAATCTGAATGTTAAGGAATTCCTGATTTAAATCCCCTGTCCCCCCGCCCCCCCGCGGCAGGTTGACCGAGCCGGAGCTGTTGGAGGCGGAGCGGCAGGCGATGGAGGCGGAGCGTGCCGACCGCGGCCTCTTCGTGCAGGAGCTGCTGCTCTCCATGCTGGTGGCCGGTGACAATGACGGCGGCGGCGACTCGCCCTCCCCCAGCAGCAGGGGGCGCCGCAGCTTCGCCGACTTCGGCGCCATGGGCTGCGTGGACGTCATGCCGCTGGATGTGGCTTTGGAGAAGCTGAGCGTGAAGGAGAGGCGCAAAGGGAGCGAGTCGTCCCCTCTTTGACAGGAGGCACCCTCTGCACCGCGATGCCGGGGAAGTCGGCGGCAGCTTTGGCTGTCTTTTACTTCTGTTTTATTATTATCATTATTATTATTATTATTTTGGTGATTGTAAATTCAGGTCCGTCACCCTTATTACACTGTGTATATACGTCAAAGGGGGAGAGAATCAGGAAGGAATATATATATATATATATATATAAATATATATAAATACAAATACGAAGGTATAGAAGCTGATAATCAGTTCCGCGTAGCTAATTTTTACGTCGATAGTCGGCCGCGAACGGCGCTGCGGACAGAGACTCCACATCCCGAGCTGCAGATGGGCCGAGGTCACTCTGCACTGAAGCTGCTGTGTGTATTTATGAATACTAACAAATAAAAAGTGCTTGCAGGGATTACGGCAACTGAAGCATGATGTCATTTGCGGTGTGCATGAGGTTTATTTAACCAACAACAAACAAACAAAGCTTTATTTGACTTTTTTTTTCTTTTATTTCCCCCAAGTTTTGTTTTGGGGAGAGTTGGAAAATGAAAAGAAATTATGGGATTTTACTAAATTTTAGCTGGGAGTCTCATTTTGGACCTTTGGCAACATCAAAACAAATGCTTTTAAGGTTTACCCCAGCTGGCCTTTTCTGGTTCGTCACAACCCGAGTCTGACCTGGTTGCATGTGGTGTTTGGTCACCTGCCCCCCCCCTGCTTCCTCAGAGCCATGCAGTCAGGAGAGGGGAACTGAAGGCCAGCCAAACTAACGGCATTCTATCCATATTTCATTTCATTTAATTTTTTCCCAACTTCATGCAGACTGTGGTCTCCCTGTACCTCCTTCTCTCACTCACCCTCCTTTCCCAGTGAAAAACAGCACACGTCTGCTGAGTGTTGTTTTATCGGTTCCTTAAAGCACATCCTAATTTCACTCCCTGCTCATGGCTGCACTTTAGCTTTCAGATTTACTCCATTTTGAGAGCCTTGGGTTGCACCGCATTGAACCGTACTGTAAGTTTTGTAGTGATTTGCAGTTTTTAGTGTGGAAAAACCTGGATTAGACTTCAGATTCCCAAGTCCAGCACAGTGTGCCCTTCCTCGTCTTCCCCACCCCCTCCCACAGTATCAGGCATATGGTTTCCTGTGCTACTGAGGGGCATTTCCAATCACTGTCCTGTAGGAGGTGCTCTCTATGTCCAAAGCAGACTGGAAACCTGTTTGCTGTACTTCTAATGGTATATGTTTGGCTGTTTTGGCCTGATGATGTTGCATAACAGGCAGACCTGTGACGGTACCAAGACTGTGATATGCTGTTTTACAGAGGTGGAAAGTTCAGGTCCAGAAAGTACAAAGCCAGACCAAGATTTTGTACAAACCAACCAGTTGATTACTCTGTGAATGTGATTCTTTATACTTGACTGGTGGGTTGAAACAAAATCTTGGTCTGGATTTGTAGTTTATGTACTGGAACTTTCCACCTCTGCTGTTTGTGTACGAGCTCCGAGTGGCAATCTTGCAAGGGTAGCTTCATGCTGTCACATGTGGGATAGACCAGACTGTGATACAACAGTTATATTAAGCTTGCCTTAAAAATAAACTATAATCTCAAAATCCCACGATCCTTCACCTTTATTAAGGCAGAAAAGTAACCAAACTCAATTCCAACAACTAGGTCGCTAAGCGAAATGGTTGCCACCTGAAAATCGCGGTAGCTTATGGGTGACTGTGACTGTATTTACGACTTCAGCCTTCAATACTCTTTTATCCTTCATGAAATGGACATTAATATTTCGCTCGTACTACAAAGAACGCGTTATCAGGCATACAAAGATCGGTCGTACATGCGTGCATTGGTTGGAAAGTGAATTTTTTATTACCGTCATATTTGCAAACGGTCACTAACCAAGGTAGTCGCTAAGCGAGGAGTGATTGTAATTTAAAGCATGAATGTAGCTAGTGTGGGCCAAAGGTGTTGCGTTGCCGACGTTAAACCCGGCACGGGCGCGGCTGTTTCACAACGTGAGCCGCTGCTTAGACTTGCCTGGTTTGTCAGCTCAGTTTACACTCTACCGCTTTTGCAAATTTTCATGCCAAGAGTAGATTTAGGGAAACAAGAGACAAATTGCAAATATTGAGAAACAGGACCCCGTCTCCCAGGAGGGAGGTGGCAAAAGGTGTTGCAAGTATATTAATACAGAACCATGTGTTCTGTCAGCCAATTGAATAATTCATTGAGCAAATAATTTTTTTACATTATGCTTTTGGGCTGAAAATATACTGTTGTGACATATTGAGTACCTGTTTCATATGTGAAGTCTCCCCCACTAGAGGGCACGGTTGCCTCCCTTAGGCTCTAGTCTGTTTTCATTGGGAGATGGCAAATCCCGTCTCTGGATACTTATGAATCCTCAATCACATGGTTTTGAGTCAGACCATTACCAAGCACTTGTTTGTAAATGATTTCTTTGAGCAATAAGAATCTTGGGTAGGCTGTAGTGAAGCTTGATTTAGTTTAATTAAAAATGCCTTTTAATCATCATTTATTTATGGGCTCGACGTGACTGTTAGTGAACTTGCAACAGGTACACAGCTTGCTACCTTTTGCTGTCATTAGCTCTGTCTCTCCTACATACAGCTTGGATATCAGGATTAACTTACTTGGATATCTTTCGGAATAATGTTTAGAATAATCTTTTGGGCAAATTAAAGGGGATGATCTGTAGGCCACCGAGCTGTTTTCCATATTTTTTGGCATAATTTGGTCATCAATTTGCTTGTATAATTTCTGTTGCGATGCCGTCCCATTCAGCTGTGGCCTCCTGGCCAATCTGACCTCATTAAATGTGTCTGGGTGGTTGTCTTTGCTGCAGAGGACTTCTATGTATTCTGTCTATCCCTGGTTGATCTGAATTCCATTCATTATTTTCCTATTGATTTGTCATGCCCACTCAAGGGTGGAACTTATTTTTGAATCTCATGGATCCTCTGAGGGAGGGGGGGGGGCAGTGGTTGGCACCATCACCCCACACGTCTGGGTTCAGGTCTCTGCCAGGATTTAATTTGTGTGGAGTTTGCATGTTCTCCCTGTGTTATCCTGGCCCCAGAGTCCAAATTCTTGCTGAAGCTAATTGGAGTCCATCGGTGTGCGTGTGTATGTGTGCGTACATGCGTGCCCTGCAATGGGTTGGCACTCCATCTTGGGTCATTCCTCACCTTGTGCTCATAGCCTCCAGAATAGGCCCCTGACCCCTCCACGACCCTGAGCAAGACTAGCGGTTTCAGAAAATGGGTGGGTGGGTGCTTTTCAGTGATGTCTCTCATTCCTGATTTAGGCTTCCCTTCTCCTCTTTGCAACTTCCTTAGTGCTTCCTGTCATCCACATGCAGCAAAGAATGCATGAAAGTACCTTCAGGCACTGTGCCGAGTCTGAGCTGAAGGCAAGATTCCCAGCCCTAACCTGTCATCTTACACCATGTGAAAGTTAGTTATCAGGTGGAGAGTTCAGGCTTTCCCTCAGAGAACGGAAGGCCCTCACCTCAACCGGTTCAGTGACTTTTCTCACTGTTACTGACATGAAGCACCCAGGAATTCATGCGCCCTACAATTAGTGCCTTTGAATGAGAATAATGATGTATCTTTTGCCATGTAGGATTTCAGAAACTTGAGCTCCATGATTGGCTGACAACACACTGTGTCTCATTGTCTGAAATTTGCCTTGTGTCATGCGGGGACACGGTGGTCCTCAGCTGATGACAGACATGGCAGTCATACGAGGACAGTGACCACCCCACAGAGAGGCAAGCTACCACACGCTGCTCTGTAATCGCTTGTCAATATGAGGACTGGATATCAGCTGCCCAGACCCACCCTCTGTGACCCCCAGTACATTAGCTGTTTAGCCCCTATAGATTCTCCACTGATGCGATGCCTACACATAGTAAGCTGAGCCATTAAACTAATTGTTTTGCAAGCTGTAGGTATGTCAGCCATTTGGTATGTTTTAAAAAGGCAAGAAATAGAACTGTACTCAAAACACTTTGTCACATTCTCATAAAAGGTAAAACTGGTTGTTGCCATTGTTTCATATAAATTATGGGAAACAGTCGTAAGTATTTTGCCTTCTTGTGTATGAATGCCCGTATTTTAGCCGGCCAAATAAAACAAAAACCCAAACATGGTCTTGGCCAACGCTGCACCCAGCAGCCCGAATTCTGGGAAAAGGATCAACAGAATTTCATTTTGACGGTATAACTTCCTAAGTTTGACACTAATCATTAACTAGCTGCTTACTGTGCTCACTGTTCTTGTGTAAGCTGGACAAATCGCAACCAAATTGTTCTGTTACTAATAGGATAAGCTCGTTAAAGCTCTGGGACTGTACATCCCAGTGTGTGATTTTCTCTCACGTAGGCTACAATATAAAAGCGTTTTTGACATATTAAATTCCGTACAAAGTCTGAAATATTTATGCTACATCCAATCTTTCATAATTTTCTTTTCCCCATTGAGTTATTAATTTTAAGAGTATTAAAATTTGCTTTCTGTATTTTATTCTCTTTTTATATGAATTGAAGGTTTTACTCAAAAGAAATGGAGAGATACTCCCAACAAGGCTGAGGCTATAATCGATATATTCATCTCGCATGTAAATAGCGTCCATCTTCATTAGTTCTGGTTAATCAAGGGAGTGTGGGGGCACTGAGAACCACACCCGCAGAAGCCCCACATCTAAACTTTGCTGGCATCTTCACTTGGACATGTCCTAACCAACGCCTTCTCCAAAGCTCACCTATGGTTTGCAGGGATCCTTTCACTTAATGTGACCTGTATAGAGGAATGATCACACTGCCCATGATTGCTTGCTCATCAGCGTTGTGGAGACCCAGCTCCTGGTGTATGGGGTCAGGCTCGTTCCCTCCTGGACATCATGCCAATCCTCGAGAGAACACTCCCTAAAGAACCGCCATTCCTGCTGAAAGCGGGAGGAAGCTGGACATCAACCAGGAGAAAATGCAGAAACACAAAGACTGAGGCCAAACTCAAGACAATCGCGCACTCATACGTACAAAAGTGCCTGTCATTGGTCTGAGATACTTCATAAAAGAAACAGGGACTGTACATTTTGGCCCAAAGTTGCCAGGTTTAACAAGCCGTTAGATGTTTCTGCAGGCTGTGTTGGCATTCGTGGATCCATGCCATCTCTGAAATTCAGTGGTAGCATGGAAAACAAAAGTCCTTTCTAAGGTCCATAGAACAGTTGCTGGAGGCATGGTAAGTAAAAGCAGTGTTCCAGCATAGCAGCATTCCTGTCATTACCATAGCGAGCAGCCAGGGATTAAGCTTTTAACTCCTTTAAAAAATTAGGATCAGCTACAATCATTGCTTTGTGTGAGACCGATTAACAGAAATTTACAGGCCACCAGACACCCCTATGGGTCCATCAAGTCAAATTTATGTCCAGCTCAGGTTTTTTTTTTCCCCCTTAGTTACATAAAATCTAGTCACAAATATGACAATAACTTACTACATGTGTGTATGTATGAGTGTGACCTTTTAAATAGGACTAAAGTCTTCCAGTCATGACTCAAAGTCTTGGACTCAAGTCCAACTTGGTATACTTGTTTTGGAAGATGTGGGGAGGGCTGGATGTTCTAGTCCAGTTGGTTACATGATGTGCAACAATTTCAGGACTGCAGGCCTCTGCACATTGTTAAACAACATGGACAAATAACATTCAGTTATACCCACAGCTGCTAACACAATCATTTTAGGCTAATCATTACAAACTACATGATGAAATTCACTGGAATCCTGATGGAGTACAGAGAGGATTCGATGGACCAAAGCTATCTGGATCTCCTTCACATTGTCAATGGGTAGAAATTCAAAGCTGGTCTCCCCAGTTAAAATAATAGATATTTTTTCCCCTGTGGGGAAATTCTCTTTACGCCTCCTCCAATTTGCTCTCTGTAGGTGAGAATAACTGGCTGCAAAGGGCAGCCACCCATAGCAGCACTCAGGGAGCTGGGGGTTAAGGGCCTTGCTCAAGGACCCGCAGATGTGCCAAGGCTAGGCTTGAACCGGTGACCTTCTGATCACAAGCAGAGGCTTAGCACACTGAGCCACACACTGGCCCCAAATACTCCTGCAATTCGCCTTGCGGCTCTACTTGACGACTTGGCAAACTTCATTTTGCCCCACCCCACATACTTCATTAGATTTTGAAATACAGTGGTATCTTGATTTATGAGCATAATTCGTTCTGGAAACATGCTTGTAATCCAAAGCACTCGTACATCAAAGCGAATTTTCCCATTAGAAATAATGGAAACTCATATGATCTGTTCCACAACTCAAAAATATTCATATAAAAATTATTAATACAAGATATAAAGTAAAAATACATAAAACAAATTAACCTGCGCTTTACCTTTGAAAAGAATTGTGGATGGTGTGAGGGAGACGAGAGGAGAAGAGGAGGGTTATTTTGTAGGACGATTTTCACTATAATTAACGGAATCACTGCTATCTGTTGGCTAACTGGAATCTTTTTCTGTTTGTGCGACTTTAACAAGGAACCCATCCAATGACAGCCTCTTTCGCCTACTTTTTGATTTCTCAAAAATGTGGACATTGCATTGTCGTTAAACAGATAAATCGCTCGCACTGCTACGCCCTTATTCAGGTGGTGCTTTTCTACTAAATTTTGACTATACGAGTGAGGCATGCCGACAGACCGAGCATGGGAGACGATTACCCACAATTCCGCAGCGTGAGAAAGTGAATAACCATTGGTTCAATTGTGATGACGTGCGCTCGGCGTCAAAACAAGAAGCGCATACATGCGCTTCCTGTTTTGAAGCCGAGCGCCCGTAAAAACAAGGAGCGCATGTGTGCCTTATGATTTTTGATGATACTTGGTGCTCGTAAACCAGGACTTGCTCAGTTTCCAAGTCAAAATTTATTAAAAATCTTTGCTCGTCTTGCAGAACACTCGTAAACCGCGTTACTCGTAATCCGAGGTTCCACTGTACATCAGCCAATAAATTGGTCAGGGACAGGAATGACTGAAGGCAGAACATACATGAACACATACTCACAGGTTTGTAATTACACCTTTGTGGGGACTCTCCATTCATTTCTATGGGGAAAACTCCAATCCCAACATGACAATCTTAACCCCTACCCAGCACTAACTTTAACCACAAAGTGGTTCAACCATACCTGAAAAATGGTCCCCATAACGTCAAAAAGTTATCACATTGTGGGGGCCATTTTGGTAACATACACATAATCCACACACACTTTACCAGTTTAACTGCATTTTTTGGACTTATACACCTGTATAACCTTAAAAGTTTAAGGCTACAGTGTTACTCATTAATCCACTGCATCCATGCTTAAACCCAAGTACCGAAATTAAGGGTTGCAAATCATGGGAATGAGGGACAAGCTCAGCACACATAGGAGGCTCACACGCGCCGTAAACCAGTAGATGATCTAAATTGCGTAAGCAGAGTCCTTGGATGTTTACCTTGGGTTCCTCTGCAACACATGCTTACAGAATGTAGCCAATGAATTTCATGAATGAGGTGCTAGATGCAATGAATGATGGGAATGGGGTTTATAAACACTATCACCTCAGCATAGAGCTGGGCGATATGGCCTAAAGATAAAACCTCCGATTTTTTTCACAATAAATCCGATTTTCGATTTTCATCGATTTTCCCCTCCCCTACTCAAAATCAAACTACAGATGACAAAGTTTTAATTTTATTTTGTTTTTTTACTTTAGAGTTAAAGTGCAATCTGACAAGCCAAAAAAGATGCTTGTAAGTGAGATGGCAGACCACGCCATTGTAAACACTTTTAGAAACGTGTAAAAAATTTTTGCATGTTAGTGAATCCCGGCTTTTGCACAGTATGTATGGGCATCATGTCTTTTGCAATATACATCACGACAGCGTCTGTTATCGCCTTCCACCGTGCCCCATTCTTATCATACGGCACACAATTTGAAAACGTGTCAGGGATGGTTGCTTGCATAACTTTGGATGTTGTGCTGGTGCTGCAGGTATTTTCATTTCACTGGGAGCTGTACTTCGCTGCGTGCCTCTGCTTTAGGTGCTGGAATAAATTTGTCGTGCTGCATCCTTTGGTTGCAACAGCTTTTAAACAGAGTTTACAAAGAAGACTTGTTTGGTCTGTGTCCGACGGCGCAAAACCGAACCATTGCCATGTTTGTGAATCCGCTACAGTGTTTGGGTGCGCCGCGCTAATGTACCCGTGAAGAACGGTGCGTCACATTAATTCCGCTTTTGATGCTCGCGTGTAAAATAAGTAACAAAATCGATTTTCATAAGAACACATCGTCCTGAACTGTAAATTCGAATTAATCGATAAAATCGATTTATCGCCCACCTCTACCTCAGCATTGTAACGGGAGTGTTATTTTATACATACCATGTCATTAAGAGGATGATAAATTACATGAACTCTAAGCTAAAATATCCTCTAACTGAAAGGGTAAACAGAATTTAGATTCAAAATATTTCTTAGCTTGAGTTCAATGTAATTCACAACCAGAAATAAAGCAGATTACCGACATTCCTAAAAGGACAAATAACCAGTCGTGTTCCACATCAACTCCCTTCTTTTTCGGTAGTTTTGACACTATTGCCTTGCTGCTGCTGCTAGTCTAAATTAAAGAGTCACAATTGCAACAGCATGCTTATCGAAAATGTGGTTCAAAGCACACAAAATTATCATCATTTGTTGTTTCTGGTCCACCAATCACGATTTCAACACATTTATATGAGCAGCTACCGAAATACACTCATTAAAATGAACAAAACAAAAAACTCAGAGAAGGAAAAAAAAAACAAAATAAAAATATCAAGGTTACAGAGGCCAGGGGAAGTGTGTGGGTTTTCAACCTACCTCAGCTGTGAAGAATATGAAAGACGTGAGGTGTGGGTGTCTGTCTTGGTCCTGTGGCAACCTCCGTGAACTCCATAAAACCTGCTGACCCCAGGCTGTGCATCAGTGAAGTGAGATAGCAACCACCTCTTAGGGGTAAAAGGTACACAGGCCAGTACAGAGGCAGGTTTTAAAAAACGTTTTCAAGGCTGCATGGGTTAAGACTCCTGGGTTAGTAACTCAATAACACAGACCAGACACATGGCTCTTAGTGCTCCTTGCAATTTTTATTCCCATAATTTAATTTTAAATGCTGACAATTTTCACTAAAATTAAAACGGAAAATACAGTACATTCTATATGCAGATCAGAACAGTTTCGTTAGTTCTCAAGGCCAGTCCTTAGCGATGGAGGACGGCGAGTTTTTCAAACCAACAACGGCAGTTCAAACACAACACAGAGCTGAGGAAGACTAGGGGCTCGCGGTGGCGAAGCCTTACCATGTGGACCAGAGGAGGAAAGCACAAAAACACTGACATGCTCTAGGCTCCTGTTTTTCAAGTTCATTTTTTTTAAATTTTCCTCTTGAACCCTGATGTCACAACACGGAGAAAAACTCTGAACAAATTGGCAGCTGGTAACAGTATGGCTGGGACTGTACGATATGGTTTAGCATCCCTCAGCTAACCGAAATAGGCCATTCTCTCCCGCACAGAAGCGGGGCGGGGGCTGTAGGGACCCCCTGTCAGATACATCCACAATCGATTCAAACGCGCTCCACCCTGTTTAGTGGGTCCCATCTCAGCCACCGTACGAAGTGCTACAGACTACAACTCCCACGGGACAGACCACGTGAGACACACGGTACACTGCACATACAGGACTATACCTTCCCCGCGGGATTTGTAAGATCTGTGATACGGGGCACAAGTAAGCTGTGGACCCAAGCTGTCAGAGCTGCTGGACCAACACTCCTCTGAAGCCAAAAGAAAATAAAAAAATAAAACAAAATCAGATGTAAATCCGTTGTTTCAACCAAATTCTTTTCTGGGGAGTAGGATCGTAGCTCAGTCAAAAAAAAAAAAAAAACGACAATGTTAAACAAGCACACTTAACTCAACATTAACATACTTTTTAAACCAATTTCCATACGTTAAACACTCAAGACGCGTAAAGCTAAAAACAGCCGCGGACCGGAGCCAAGCGAGAGCAGAGGTGTGGGAAATGCAACCCAGCCTGCGATTACGTGGCTATGGCCACGAACCCCCGCCCCAGCAGTCCTGAGCGTGAGGCCCCACGCCACGGGCCAGAGACCATCACGCTGGAGGAGCTGATTGGCACCAGTGCCGAGGCACATTTACGAAGCATTTTAGAATTTAAACACGACAGGAATACCGACGTATACTGTGAAGCAAACACCACGACACGTGTGTGGGGGGGTAACGCCGGCCCCCCAGGTGACCCCTCCATGACACGTACGCTACGAGATTGCCAAAAGTAGAAAAATATACTCCGATGAACATTTATTCATTTCTTATTAATGATTTCAATCCATACAGGTAATTTAGTGTTAAACTGTTAACGAACCGCTTATTTTAATCAGTAATACAAAATAAAGACACGCCTCTTTTCCTGTCTTTCTAGGGTTATTTTTCTGCACATAGCACCATTATCCTTTCGATGGCATCATTAGGCGATCGCTTGGTGAAAACGGCAACAGGTCACAGCGGTCTGTGCATCGGTAAAAACAGGAAACAGCTCGTGGGAGTTTCACAAAAATGTTCTGAGGACAGAATTAAAAATTATTGGTTCTCTCTCTGAACCAATCAGATTGTAGAGGAGGTGGGTCCATGCAGCTAGAGGGGGTGGGACCAATCAGATATCTTTGTCCCCCCTACCTCAAGTCGCTGGGGCCCACCTCCTCTACAATCTGATTGATTGGTTCTCTCTCTGAACCAATCATTCATTCCACCCTTCGCGCCGAAACAGGCTCTCACCACGGCGGCCTTCGCCACCGGAACCTTCGTCTATGAATGGATTTGTGCTGTGCTGCCAGATGCCACGCCAATGGAGTTGATCTGATTTTAAAGCCATGGGATTAAATACCATATACATAAGACTGAGAGAGCAGGCTACATCAAAGCTTGTTTTGATTGCCCATAGTGTGGTAATTTTGCTAGGGTCCTTGGGGTATTGGGGGTTGTGGGAGGTGTGATAACATCTCCCTCAGTCCACATCGGCAAAAGAGCCCAGGTTGGGACTCATGACCTCCAGTGGCTGGCTAATCTTTTTTTTTTTTTTTAATTTTAAATAAAAAATAAAAAAATAAAAAACCTCTTTCGCAGAGCAGTTGTGCTGTATGCAGTGTGCTGGTGTGTGGGATCACATTATATCCCTGCTAAACAAAAACAAAAACAAAACAATCAACCTAACACGTTTAGTCTCCTTCCATCCCCCCACCAGGTACAAAACTCAGGGGAGAAAAAAAAAAAACACACAGCAAGCACCAGAAAAAAAAATCACCAGAGCTCTAACTTCTAATGAAATCCTACCACCAGCAGCCACCCTTCGTGGTGAATCAGACACACGCACCTTTCTTAACGCCTAAAAAGATTAACCAGCGGAGCAGGAAAGGACCATTTCAATTACCGTTATTCGCCAAAACCGACTTGAAGAACACCGACATTGACAAGCAATTTCCCCTGGATCTTTGGTAATAATTTTTATGTTTTTAGGGCGTTTGATAGAGACCCCGAAAACAAACGCCAACGAATCAGTAATTTGAGATTCGTCAGCCACAGGTAACGGCAAAATATGGGACACCGTTGAGTTCTTTAAGCGGCACGTTCAGATAACAACCCTGCGAGGTCTGCGACCCGCGTGCAATCCGGCACGCGAAAGAGCCACGGCGCCCGGACCTGAAGCAAAAGACTGCGACACGAACGCGAGGTGGGTGTCGGTGCTGCGTGGGGGGGCCGCACATATGCACTTACGGACTTTACCGGCATGTCAGAGGCCGAGTTAAGATGTGCGTCTCCCCTACAAGCCAGAACACAAGCGTCAGCGCTGTTTTTTAATTTAAAAAAAATAAAATAATCAGTGCTGCTGTGAAAAGGGCTGGTGTGTATGCGTCAGTGCATCGGGAAGGGGTTAGTGTTGTGCGAAGGGGCATATCGACGTCAATTTACAAGGGCCAGACTTTGTATTAGTGTGTAAGAGCCCTTGGGTCAGTTTCTGCCTGGGCATCTCAGAAAGCGACCCCCATTTCGCATTCAGATAAGATTTCTATTGGCACTAGTGATCGTAATGCGTTTTCTGGAGACTTCCATGATGAAAACTGAAAAAGAAAAAAAACACTGAGGAAAGTATTTACAGTAGAAAATACAGTATAATACAATAATAAAATATGAGATCCATCTTAGAACTTATGAGGAACCATTTGTTCAATTACAACTTTTTTTCCTCCAAAAATCTTTTTTTTTTTTTTTTTTTTTTTAATGATATCATGTAAAATTAAGGTACAGCATCCCCACAGAGAAGCTCTCTTCTCACCTGCAGGGGGCACTGGAGGGGAACGGGGGCATGTACCCTGCAAGTTGGTATGTAATGTGGCATGTAGGAGGGGGCAGGGCCAAGCCCAGCTGACAATCCCAAAGCAAGCTGGACTACGACGACGTCCCACTTAAAAGGGTGCGATATTTACACTTCTCAGGATCACTAAACTACTTGGCAAACATGACCAATACTCAGGTACCAATAAACTTTATTAAGCAAGTTACCGCAGGCGCATAATATCTCTATTATTCTATTAACATGTGTGTGCGCATGTGTAAATAAACACACCTGTGTTAGCAGTTGTATTTTCTAAATGTGATTTTTTTTTTCTTTAAATCTCGAACCCTCTGGTGTTGTATATACAGCAGCTCGATTTGAAACATCAGGATAATTTGGTGCTGGCACTGTTTGTTTCATATGCAAATAAGAACAACCCTAAAATTATTAAAAAACAAAACAAAAAAAAAAGTGGGAAAACAAGAGAACCCAAAATGAGAATATATTCAGGAGACATCCCAGGCAGCCAGTGATCCTACACTCATCCGTAAGCTCTGCCCCTCCCCCGGGTCTGCCCATCCCCTTCCCCACCCCCCCCCCCCCCCCCCCCCCCCCCCCCCGCCCGGTGGCCTGTTAGACGAAGGGCAGGATGCCGTAGACGAACAGGGCCATGATGGCGGCGCTGAAAAGACCTGCCACCGGCACCGTCACGAACCAGGCCAGGAAGATGTTCCGGAAGAGGCGCCAGTCCACTGCCTTCTTCGAGCGGATCCAGCCCACGGCGACCACGGAGCCCACCTGGTCACCACGGCAACGGAGGGACACAAAGGCACCAATCAACAGCGGCAGCGTCCGCAGTCCACACGCAGACACACGCATGTAGGCACGCACACCTTCATCCACATTACTTCCAGTAATGAGGATTTTTCCTGTAGCGTGTGAGTCTTTCGATCTGCAGTCAGATGAAACCCCTTTTGGTGCAGACACTGCAGTACTTCAGGACTTTATCCAATAATTCAGATGGCAAATTTTACTGAAATTATTTAGTTTAAGGCTCTGTTCTATACAGCTCAGTCGGGGATAAAGGACTGAATCTTTACCAAACTGATGCTCCGAAAGCTAGCGATATATATATTTTAACATTCATATGACTGGAAATTATTAAAGATTTAGCATTCTATTTCTGGAAAGATATGGAATATACTGAAGACTCTCACGCTTCAGCTTAAAAGCAAAACAAATCACATTAATCTGCATACGCAGGTTCTCATGCCATTTTTAGAGGCACACACATGATCTGTATGAGTACGAGCAGAAAATGGCCAGAGTCACGGGGTCATGCGTGTGCTGATGTTATGCAGTTTGCCCAGTTGGGTGCAATCAGAGACACCTGCTGATCGCCCTTCCGAGGAATGTAATCTGAGTCGCTGGTTCATTTCGGAGGAGGGGTTAAAAGCCTGCCCCCCCCTGCCACTTCCAGCAGGGTCGACCGGAGCCCCCAGCAGGCAGCCACCAGCTGGTCTTCCGACAGTTACTTATTGGTAATTTATATTTAATATTAATTGCAGCATGGCCAAAATTTTTTCCATAATTAAACAACAAAAGTCCTTCAAAGGTTCAACAGTTGGTACCACTGTAGTATTTTTGTGATGTTTTAATGCCAGGGTACCTGTCGGCGCACTGAGCACCACATCACACACTGCTCCCATGGCTCTGGCTCGGCGATGACACACACAAGGTCAGCATTTGGATTTAGTTCTGAAACAGCCCTACCTACACAGCGACGATGATCAACTCGCCAGTCCTAGAAGGCTGGCAAGAACACAGCAGTTTTCATTTAGCGACCCCTAAACCTGCCATTAGACCCACTTAGATCCCAGGAAAACCAACCCGTAACTGAGCTGTGTGTGTTCATTACACCGCCAAAGGAATCACCAGATACAGGCAAGCTGCAAAGATGTTAGTCCTACTGTTAAACGAGCCACTCACTAAACAAGTTAAAAATTCATCAGCATTAAGTAAAAATCAGACCATGGAAATCAAGAGGAACCACTTCACACATTGATTTAAGACTGTTCCTCAGTTCCAATCAGTTCTGTAACTGCACTTTCCTTTCTGGATGCCATAGATCTCCTGATTGGCCACGAAGCAAGGCATTGTGGGAAGACCCTGTTTACTTTTTGTAAAACCTAAGAAAATTCCACATAGGCACTAAATGACATTCATTGTGACATTGTGATTTAGTTATCAGATAACTTATTTATTTATATATATCTACATACCTATATTGGCCTTGTCACAGGAACAGTTTATCCTCTAAATCTCTTTAACCTCCATTTAAAAAAGGTTGATATTTTGCTAATTGCCAAATCTGAGAACCCGGGGCGGGGGGGTTGCATATGAACTTTGACACCCAATATAAGAAAATCCAGGACACAAATCCCACCTCACACTGGCCTGTGGGCATCATGGGGCAACAGCACGTGCTATGGCTGCCGGTCTGTCTCACCAAGCCCCCCCCCAGCCAGGGATAACCCACCACACAGAGTGGGGGGGGGGCTTTAATCGCACTACTACTGGAGTAAGCCCACTTTTCAGAATTAGTTCCAGCAAAAGTTCCGAAGTTAACGCTCTCCCCCCGCCCCCCGGTCTAGTCCTGATCCTCTCTGGCAAAAACTGGAGCTGGGACTGTGCTGCTACTGAGGTAATTTTACCCAAGAAGGAAAAGTGCAGAAACCATTAAATCCACAGTAGTAAATACTCCCTAGTTGCTGTTTTAGTTTTGTGTTGTTTAATCCCAACTAGTAATACTAGTTAAGCAGCGGGTGAGGGCTGGTTCACAACACTCGGATACCTTGCAGTGAGTGGAACTTATGGGGACGCCCACATTTGAGGCTACAAGTACTGTTAGAGCACTCATTACTTCAATGCAAAATCCACTGTGAAGAAACAGACAAGAGGGCACAAAACACAGAGAGACACCGTGAGCCAGCAGAGGGCGCCATA